TTATTTATGCAAATTATAACTTGTTAAAGGCGATAATGCAAAAAAATGTAATGTGAGGCGGATCACAAAAATGAATATAGGACAAATAGATATAAATGAAGAAATAGAGGAAAGAAAGACTGAACTGAAGATGAAGCCAGAGACAAAGTTAATTTTCTCAGAAGCCAAAGCAAAAAGGGGGAAAGAAAAATTCACAGCCTTTCATAAGTCCATAAGAGAAAAGCACAGTGTTCATAAAATAAAATTGGATCATAGAGATATGGCAGCTTCTAAGAGAAGGAAGTGACTAATTCTGTTTGGGAAAAGCAGGAAATGCTACAGCAATGAGGGTAAAAAAAAAAAAATAGCTAATGCTGATGTTTGGGGAGGTTGGACGTGGAAGGGTGGCACTGAGCCACTGAATGGGACATGATCAGCTTAACTCATTTCCTAGACGTCCTTCGACTCTGAAGGTGGGAGATCAGAGGTCGTGGTCTCAGAAGCAGGAAGAAGGCTGGGGCTGAGGGCTGCGAACAGCCTCGGTGTCTATGGGGCCTGAGGAGGGAACGGTGGTCTCACAGCCGGGAGAGGCATTTCATATATTTACCCACCAGTTTGCGGCGGATCTGTCCAGATGGGGGTGTGACCCCAGCTGGACCTTGTCTGGAAGGCCCTTGCTGTGTCAGCATTAAACCTTCCCTTGCTGGTTTCTGGTGAGGTGGGGTCCCCGGAGGGTTGGAGCTGTTGGGGACGTGGAGGGAATTACTAACCCATACAGAACACGTGAGTATTGCAGCCACAACCCTGGCTAGATGGTGCCCGTCGTCAGCTGTGGGTCACGCCCGCCCGCCCCCACGGCCTCTCCTCCTGCCGGCCGCCTTCCCCGCCCGAGTCATGCCTGATTATCACCAGCTAATGAGAATTCCTGGTCTTGGTCAACTGCCCACACTCAGGAATTCGCTACTCATGAGAAATGTCAGCTTTACGAAAGTGGGCTCTGTGTGTCAGCTCTTTTTCCCACATTCAGGGTTTACAGCTGACAGTAGTTTGTTTCACATGATTTGCTGATAGGGGAAGAGGCCGTAATCCAGGAAACTGCTCTGGCAAATCACCCGTGGGCCAGCAGAGCATTCTGGAACATTCTTGTTATGTTTCCCCTTAGAAATCATTTGGAAAGGGGAGTGTTGAGATTTCAACAAGGCTAGTGTGGAAGGCTTCATGCCTGAGGGAATACCAGAGCTTAGCTCTGAGGCTGCCGCGCCCCAAGTTCATGCTCCCAGCGTGCGCACAGAAGGGCTGCAGGACTGGGGAAAACACACAGGAACCCCCGTGCCTGACAGCGATGACAGTAACGGTGAAGTGCTGTGACAATCCATGGTGTCACACTACTGCACATGCATTCACAGGATTCAAACTATGACGCCAACTTCAGAAAAGACGGTAATATGCTAGCTTTCTGGCGCTGGAGAAATAACGGACCCATTTCAACAAAGCACCAGCCCCTCAGAGAGCACACCTCTCCCACCTCTGGTCACTTGACTTTCTTTTTTCCTCCCAACTGACTTCTGCACTAACAGATGATGAATTCCGTAAATGACGACAGAGCCATTCTATGGAAGGATATATACTCTAGGCCACCAGGGTGAGACGGGATCTTTCAGAAAGCGAACGTCCTTGATTTGAACACAGAGAAGCTGGATTTTAGGTATTTGAGGCGGTGATCTCTGGACAGGGCCAAGCGCAGAAAATTACTAAAGTGCCACAAACCCTCAGATAGGGCCGGGCTCCCACTGGCTGCCTGACCTAGTGCCAGCTTTCCTCGGGGGCCCACTCGGCTCCTGCCAAGTTCCCAGTGAACCCCGACATCACAGAGTCATTTAAATCCTAATGACTGTGTTCATGTGGCACCCTGAGGTTTACAAGCCTCTCAACCACGCCTCCCAGCCCAGCAAGGAAAGGCCAGAAGGCTTTACTGAGACTTGGAAACTAAGGCCCAGAAAGAGTCTCCAAGACACACAGCTAGTCAAGGGGAAAACAGGCCTGCGGTGAACAGCTCGAGCTTGCAGTCAAAGGAATCAGTGTCGAAATTGGGGCTGGCTATCCTTAGCTTGTCACCGCACTCTCCAGAGTCTGTTTCCTTCTCTGCAACCCGACGCCCCCCTCCAGAACCAGGGTTGAGGGCCCCCCTGCCAGGGATCCTAGCACATCCCAGCTGGGCGATCCCGGGCAGGTTACTTAACCACTCCATGCCTTAGCTTCCTTGTCTATAAAATGAGGTCAATATTGGTACCCACCGCACACGCAACATGGGTGACTCTCACAGACATTTGTGGACAGAAAGAAGTCAGACCCAGAAGGGCACACACTGCGTGATTCATTTACTTGATGTTCAGAACAGACCAACTGTGTGATGGGTATGGGGTTTCCTTTTGGGGTGACGAAAATGTTTTGCAAAACAGAGGTGGGAGTTGCACAATATTGTGAATGTGTTAAATGCCACTAGATCGTTTACTTTAAAATGGTTAATTTTGTCATGTGAATTTCACCTTAATTTTTTCAATAATTAATTCTTTATTCATTTTTAAAGTGAGCCAAAAATTTTTTTAATTAAGTATTTTAAAAAACCAGCTCTTACTTGGGGGGGGGGCATGGGCAATATAAGTAACCTTAACACTTGTATCCCCATAATACGCTAAAATAAAATAAAATAAAAAATCTAAAAAAAAAAAGTCAGGCATGGTGGTGCATGCCTATAGTCCCAGCTGCTCCAGAATCTGAATTGGGAGAATCACTTGAACCCAGGAGTTTCAGGTTAGCCTGGGCAACATAATGGGACCTTGTCTCTAAAAAAAAAAAAATAATATATATATATATATATATATACATATATATATATATATACACACACACACACACACACACGTACATAAAATAAAATAAAGCGGCCAAACTCATCAGCAATGCTAGAAGTCAAAATAATGGTTATCTTTGGTGGTAGGATGGTTAATGACCAGGAGCAGACACGAGGGAGGCTGGGGAAATGTTCTACATCTTAATCTAGGTGGTGGTTATGTGAGTGCACATAGGTAAAAAGTGATCAAACTTTATGCTTAAGATTTTTGCACTTACAGGGTCATTATGAAATTAAGGGAGGTCATCTAATCCATGTTAAGCTCTTAAACAACCCTGGTATATAACAAATGCTCAATAATTAGTATGTCTCATTAGGACTACCATTATCTCATACTGTCTTAAAGACTGGATGAGACAATGCACATATGGCACTTACACAGGAACTTTGCATATGCCCCCAGATAGAGGCGATTTTCATTAATATTAAGTTGAACCCAAACTAGGCTCAAGATTCAGAGCGGTTTGCAAGGCACTGTCTCGCCCACTCCTAGGGATTGGTTTGACATGAGCTATGTGGAAGAGAGCCAGGGATTTAAGGATTAAGGCTTGGCATACCACGGCACAACCCCTGGTTCAGCCGGGCTCCCTCCTACGGGTGAGTTTGGGTACAAAGCAAACCATTCGCCATCACACAGGCAAAACTTGGAAGAGAAAGGTCACCTGTCATTCGCCCGAAGGTGGACGGTATCTGGGAAAAGACAGTCCATGTCAAATCCTGCTGTTATTGTCCCCTGACAGGTGGGGCCTACCCTGCTCATTAATCTGCTTATTTTATTGGCATCCTATACTGTCCAATTACGTTTGACTGGCAAGCTTCCTGCAAACCCAAAAGATCGACCTTCCCTCCTCCGTTGGGCCACACAGTCCCAGGTACACATCCACCTGTCTGACACCTGTGACGTGTGGCAGTGCTCATGCATCATGTCTCTGCTTCCAGACCCCTGTGCGTTGCAGACAGGAGCCCTGCCTCAGTCATCTTTTCAGCCCTGGGATGGCTCCTGGAACACAGCAGGGACTTAATGTGTGAGAGAAAGAGAGGGCAGGGCTCCCTGGTTCGGTAGACCCTAAAGAACAGAATCATTTCCCTCCCTTCGGATCCTAAGATTTGTTTGGGAATGAAAGACAGAAGCAGAGAGGGGTTGACCCGGGAGGGCTGGGTGTGCAACCGCCCCCAGCTCCTTCTGAGTCAGTTTCATTCCGTTTAGAAAGAGCTATCCAGAAACTGCAGTATTGTTGGTTTGGGAGGAAAAATGAAGTCAGGAGCAGAAAACATCTTTTATGGGGGAGTAAGTGGAGGATTTGTGTGACTTTGTTTCGTTATGTTTTCCATTTGGGGCTTAAGCGCTCTTATCCCTTATCAGCATGGCAATTTCGCAAGCACATAACGTCAACCACAACATGTTTTCATCTAAACTAACAAACTGGCATTTAGATCCGAAAAATAAGTGTAGCCCTTTACCTTCAGGGTCTTCCTCCCCGAACTCCATGACCCCAAGTCTAATCATGAGAAGGACACTGGGCAAGTCCAGGTTGAGAGACAGGGTACTAAATACTTGACCCAGGCCCCCTGCAACAGGTCTTCACAAACAAGAAAAGTCTGAGACACTGTCACAGCCCAGCGGAGCCCCAGGAACACGATGACTAAATGTGATGTGGGATCCCAGATAGGATCCTGGAACAGAAGGACATTAGGTAAAAACTAAGGAAATCGAAACAAACCATGGACTTTAGTTAGCAATAATGTGGCAATATTTGTTCATTAATTGTAACAAATGCACCATGCGAATGTAAGATGTCAGGAACAGGGGAAACTGCAGAGCATATGAGAACCCTCTTACAGTCTTTGAAATTTTTCTGTAAATCTAAAACTGTTCTAAAAGAAACCTCTGTGTGTGTGTGTGTTTTAAATGAAGGGCTACAGAGCATTCTCCAAAATGTTGGTAACCTTTCCCCCACTTACCCTCCCATCAAAAAATAAAAAAGGACCCAGTCATCAGACTTCAACACATCAGAGATTTCCCCTCTCTTGCGTTTCTTCCCTACCCGCCCGGCCCCGCCCCCAAATGCCAGACCAGCACTTGGGGTTACGAACACCTGGAGCTGGGGTGGGGAAATGATCCTCACCGGGGCTATCCTCCATTTCAGCATCTCAGAAATAAAAATGCCAGGCACAGCGGTGTGCACCTGCAGTCCCAGCTACTCGGGAGGCCATGGTGGGAGGATGGCTTGAGGCTGAGTTATTCCAGGCATTCATACTTGACAATCTACTCATGTAAAAAAATATTATTATGATTTTATTGTGTACCAAGCACTATGGGCACTAGAGAAACAGCAATGAGAAAAACCAACACAGCCCCTTCCTCCTGGGGCTTATGTTTATGTTCTGGGATGTGCAATATGACAACTGAGACAGTAAGGGGACATGGAGGTGACGGTGGCCCAGAGACCCTCTGCTCAGAGTACCCACCAGGAACAGTGATGGGTGGTCAGAGACCATCCACACCCTCTGGTTGACCTTTCTTGGCACCACAGAGATTGTTCACTGAGATTCCATCCAGCCTGTAGCATTCTAGCCAGAAATTTTTCCAGCCCAAGTAACTGGGGGCTTGAATTTTGTCCTAAAAGCAAGGAAAGATTTCTTAAGGCAGCACCGTTACTTTGGCAAGTCGCTCATAACTCTTTGTTCGGCAAAGACTCGCTGAGTATCCAGGGAGTTCTAGCCACTGGGCTAGCTGAGAAAAGAGGCTCAGGGAGCTCAGAGTGTAGTGCTAGACACAAACCAGAAATCAGTCCATGAAATACAGGGTGTGGAGGGCTAAGGCAGCGATAAGGGGCCTGCAAGGCTTCCCAGAGCCCGAAGCCCTGAACAAGGGCTTTTTTTAAAAGATCAACTTTATTGAAGTATCGTTTACAAAACTTAAATGCATCTGTTTTAAGTGCACATTTTAAATTCTATGAGTTTGACAAATGTATACACCTGTGTCAACACCACCACAATCTTGGTATAGAATATATTTATTACCCCCAAAATTTCCTTTGTGCATCTTTGCACTTAATCCCCGCCACCCATCCCAACCCCTGAAAAACCATTGGTCAGTTATCTGTTGTTAAGGTTTTGCCTTTCCTAGAACTTTCTGGAATCATACAGTATATAGTCTTTTATTTCTGGTTTCTTTCATTTAGCCCAGTGCTTTTGAGATTCACCCATGTCGTTGTGTGTATCAGTGTGTTCTTTTTGGTCGACTGCACGGATGCACTGCAGTGGTTTATCCATTCACCAGTGGATGGACATCTGGGTTGTTTCCGGTCTAGGGCTGTCGTGCATAGAGCTGCTATTGACCTCAGTCTTAAAGGACAGCGGGCGTTAGTCAGTCAGAGAAGGATGTTCTAGAAAGGGAGATAGCAAAAGGAAGGGGAGGAAGATGAAGCTGGAGAAATAGAGAGGAGAAGAAATAGCAAGGGTGCCTGTGCTATGGGAAGACCTGGCCAGATTTCCAGCAGGAGGATCACTTGGAAGTTTGTGGACTGGGGTCCGACGATGACCTACTGAGGACTGGAAGTTGTTTGTGATGCCCACCAGACACGCAGGCACAGAGGTTTAATGGGAAGTGGAAGGAGGTATGCGCTGAAGATGTGGGCATTGAGGCATGATGGGTAAAGCCATGGGTGCTGGCAAGCTCACCCACGCAAAGCACACAGAGGGAGGATGTCTCTGGGTGCTCATCTGTGTCCTCCCTGAGCCTGGAAGAACCAGGCAGAGTAAGTGCAGCGGTTAAGAGCGTGGACTCTGGAGCCAGATGTCTGGGCTTCCAACGCCAGCTGTGTGATGTGGGGCAAGTCACTTGGTCTCAATTTCCTCATCTGTAAAATGGGGATAATAATATACCTACCTCATCAGCTTGATATGAGGGTCAAAGGAGTTCATTCATGCTCTTAGAGTATTATCAGGCTCTTGTTAGGAAGTGCTACATAAGTGTTAGCTATTATTAATACAATTTTTTTTTAAAAGAAAAGCTAGGGTGTAGGCATCGGGAAGACCTACGTTTGAATACTAGCTCCATTCATGACAAGCTGAATGACACTGAGAAATTTAACATCTCTGAGCTGAAAGGTCCTTGCCTGAAAAATGAGGATAATAATTCCTACCTCATTCATCGGAAGGAGTAAATGAGTTCAAGATTAAAAGTCAAAAGTGTTAGAGAACTCTCCCTATGGGGTTAATCTCTGCTCTCTCCTCCCCTCTCTGTGTTCCCACAGAACATTATTTATTTCATTTCCAGCTCTTTCCTCATGGCTATGGCAACCTGTTTACTGGCATATTCATCAGAATGGGCTAGGTTATGCCACAGTAACAAACAGCACCCAATTCAAACAGCAAAAGTTTAACTTCTCACTCACCCTCCACGTCCATCACAGGTTGGCTGCTGCTCTGCCCACCATGTCATTGTCACTCTGGGACCCAGTTGGACGGTGCGACTGTTTCTGGGGCATTGATAGCTGCCATGAGAGAGGAAAACAGAAAATGTTATAAGGAAGGTGCTGGCTTCACCCAGAAGTAATACACAATCATTCTGCTCACTTTCATTGTTCAAGCAAGTTAAATGACCATCCCTGTGTTGAATGTGGCAAGGCTTTGCGATCTTCCTAAAGAGAGGAGCAAGAACCTCGGTGGGCAGTCATACTCTAGCACAACTGGGCTGCATCTGCTGCTAAACTGAGAGCCTCCGGAAGACTCGAACTGGGCACTAGTCACAACCACACCCCGTGCCTGGCACAGTGCCCTCAAGCTTTGGTGCACTGAGCAAGAGAGAGAGTTCTTTAATTTCACCTAGAGCATCTAGGTTACTCCACCCCAAGGTAGAAAGTCCTCCTCCAGTCACATCTCCTGTAGAAAAGGGAGTGAGCCTCCTGCCTTCAGGGGGCAAGCAATCCCCATGCCAGGTTACCAGAACAGAGTATCTGCTGGCAGGAGGAAACTCCCACAGGTATCAGCCACCCCCTGGGGACCAAGCCCCATTTGTATGTGGGCTCAAGAACAATAATTTACTAAATGCTGTAGAAGTATTATTTTATTTGGCCTTCAAAACACCCCTATGGACCTGATGAGGCAGGTAGCTAGTAGCATCCCCAAGACAGTGAAGTTGACATTGGAATCCAGTGCTCTGCTGGTGGGAATTTAAATGGTACAGCCACTGCAGAAAACAGTATGTCGGTTCCTCAAAAAATTAAACATAGAATAACCATATGACCCAGCAATTCCACCTCTGGGCATATATACAAAGGAATTGAAAGTGGAGACAAAAAAATATTTGTACATCCATGTTCATAGCAGCACTATTCAGGATAGCTAAAAGGCAGAAGCAATCCATGGGTCCCGCAATGAAGAAATGGATAAACAAAATGTGGTATATCCCTACAACAGAGTACTATTCAGTCTTCAAAAGGAAGGAGAGTCTGACGCATGCTACAACATGGATGAACTTTGAGGACATTATGCTAAGCAAAAGAAGACAGTCACAAAAGGACAAATACTGTGTGATTCCACTTATGTGAGGCTCTAGAGTAGTCAAATTCATAGAGACAGAAGGTACAATGATAGTTTCCTGGGGCTGGAGAGAGGGGACAAGGGGAGTTAGTGTTTAATGGATGTGGAGTTTTAGCTTGGGAAGATGACGAAAGTTCTGGAGATAGTTGGTGGTGATGGTTGCATAATAATGTGGATATACTTAACGCCTCTGAACTGCTACACTTAAAAATGGTTAAGATGGGCCGGGCGCGGTGGCTCACGCCTGTAATCCTAGCTCTTGGGAGGCCGAGGCGGGCGGATTGCTCAAGGTCAGGAGTTCAAAACCAGCCTGAGCAAGAGCAAGACCCCGTCTCTACTATAAATAGAAAGAAATTAATTGGCCAACTGATATATATATAAAAAATTAGCCGGGCATGGTGGCGCATGCCTGTAGTCCCAGCTACTCGGGAGGCTGAGGCAGGAGGATTGCTTGAGCCCAGGAGTTTGAGGTTGCTGTGAGCTAGGCTGACGCCACGGCACTCACTCTAGCCTGGACAACAAAGCGAGACTCTGTCTCAAAAAAAAAAAAAAATGGTTAAGATGGTAACTTTTATGTCATGTATATTTTTACCATAATTTTTTTAAAGGGCCAAGCAAAGCGACTTGCCCAAGGGCATGCAGCTAGGAAGAGGAAGAGTCAAGGTTTGGGAATCTGAGTCCAGTGCTCTCTCCCCAATACCACGTGCTTCTTTACGTCATGGGCTCTGTCTCTCTGTATCGACCTGCCTTCCTCGCCCACAATTCTCCCACCACCTACCACAGGTTATCTCCCCTCCCCAGCCCCAATCCTGCTCGGTGGCTGGAACACAGTATTCTATGTCATGGATTCATTCAAACCAACATGATTGGAACATGCACTATATGTAAAGCACCCTCTAAACTCTAGGAGGCAGCCACAGAGTTCAGTCCCTGCTCGCCAAGGACTCTCAGCCCAGCAGCAATTGCAGTGTGCAAAGCATTGGAAAATAAAATGAGCAGGAATCTACAGTCACACAGAGGAGGCCCTTAACTCTGCCTGGAGATAACAGGGAAAGCTTCTAGGTGGAGGGGACACTTGGTCTGAGCCTTGGAACATGAGTAGAAGTCTTCCAGAAGGAGGGATATATTCCATAAAGGGAGCAATGTGTACAAAGTCGGGGAGACAAGAGAAAACAGATGGTCAAGGAATACCAAGTCATTGAGGGTAGGCCCCATACTTGGGAAGCTGAGAAGTCTGTGGGGACCACGTCATGGACAGTATGTGGACACAGTGTGTCAGGCTAAAGAGTCTAACTTTTGTCTTATGGGCAAGGGAAAGCCATTATTGGATTTAGCAGTGGAGTGGCATAATCGGGTTTGCATTTAGAAGGGTAGAGAGGAGCTTCTAGCAAGTCAATGTCAGCAGCAAGAAGTTCAACAGAATGTTGCCAAAGCCCAGTCAGAACATAAGGCAGGCCCGAGCCAGGGAACAGCAAGGGGAATGAAGGGAAGGTGGCCACTGGGACTTGAGTGGCCTGGGACAGAGATTTCTGTCTGTTTTATTCATTGCTGTATATTCAGTATCTGGCACAATGTTAATATTTATTGAATGATCAATATCAGAGATAACTAGGAAGCAGAAAAATGGGACTTAATGAACACTGAATGCAAGGGATGATGGAAAAAGAAGACTCTCAAATCACTCCCAGGTTTTTGTGTTGAGCAGACACCTGGGCTGATCTCTGTGTCTCATCAACACAGGACAGCTGAAAACCTGAGAAGCATTCGGTCTGATGACCACGCTTTCAGCTTTGGGTTCTTTTGAGTCTGAGCTGAGACGGCTGTCATCCAGGTGGGGGTGATGCAGACCCAGGTAGTGTGGGATTTACAGGTCTGGAGCCGGGGAGTAAGATCCAGGCTAGAGATAGACATTTGAGAGTCCCGAGTGCAAGACGGTGTGTGGAGCTATCTAAAGCAGGTTGTACATGGAGGTGAGCGCTCTCCTCTAGAAAAAGTAGTCCTTGCCTTTTCGGCCAAGCGTCCTTTTCAACCTAGGGAAGGAGCAGGGCCCCCGCTATCAGCATCTCCCAGAGAAGACCCCACAGGCGTGTCAGCCCTTGCAGATTCAGCCTCCAGCCTCTGGCCACATTCTCTCCTCTACGGGGGCCTCATGCATGGCTTCCTCTTTCCATCTGCCCCAACCTGCAGGCAGGGATCCCACCTGTGCCCTGGAGCTGCCTTCAGCCAACGCAGCCCACAGGTTCTGATCTCCAGGGCTCCGTTGACATCTGCAGTGAACACCACACACAGTGTCCTTTCTTGCCATACTGCCACTCAGTGTGGTTTGAGCTCATCTGGCACTGATTAAACACCTGCACATGCAGGGCCGGAGCCTGTGGCCGGGCGAGTCTCTGCCACTGCCCTGCCCTGGCGCAGGCTGCCACCGTCAGTGCCCTGTGGGGTAAGCACAGTGGCCTCCTACCCCATCTCCCAGCTACAGTCTTGCCCCTTCTCCTGCACCCCCAACCCCTCCACCAGCCAGAGTCGCCTGCCTAAACCCAGATCTGCTGACATCACCCCCCAGCCCCAAAACCTCCCAGAGTTCACGAAGGCCACAGAACAAGCACCAGGCTCCTCAGTCTGGCCTGCAAGCTCTCTTCAAGCTAGCCCCAACCTACCTTTTCAATCTGACCCTCCACTGTGCTTCCCCCCGCAAACATAGCATGCCTGGCTGACTCCACTTCCCCTCTAGAGCCTGGGCTTAACACCCGGCACCATCATGTACCAGCTGTGTGACCACAGGCAAGTTATTTGACCTCTCGGGGCCTCCGTAAAATAATGATAATAATAGGATGTAGCTCCTGGGCTGTTGTAAGGATTAAATGAGTTAATGTTTGCGGAGCACAACAGGGCTGGGTGCACAGTAATAGCTGGGTTTACTGTTACTATTATCCGCACCACTGAACCTTTGCTCGGGGTGTTCCCACCCTCCACGATCCACTTCCCCAGCCCCCACGTCTGCAGGGCCTCCGTCCAGGCCTCCTGTACAGGCCTCCGTCCTTCAGCATCCCTCCCTCCCTCCCTCCCCCACCTCCCCCACAGTTGCTACCCAGCCCCCCTGGAGACTCACTGCACTGTCTGAATTTTCTCAGTATCACAGTTATTTCTGTTTGCCCCTCGTCGGACAGCAAAGGCCTGCGGTTAAACACCATTGCTCATCTCCCTCTGGGACCCCCACAGCCTCCAACACAGCTCCTGGCATACAGCACGGCAACATGATTAGTGAAAGTTCACTGGGCCTGGAGTCTGACAATCTCGAGTCCACATCCTGGCTCTGACACTTACTAGCTGTGCAACCGTGCTTAATTGCTTAACCTCTCTGAGCCCCAGTTTCCACGTGAGGAATAGGGAGGACCATCCCACTCTCGCAGAGTTGCAGGGGATAGATCTGATAATATTAATATCTGGAGACTGCTGACCGAGTGTCTGACTCAGCAGAAGCCCTGGGCGAAGTTTCCTTTCTTTTCCATCTTCAACACACCCGTCAGATTCACACATTCCACGGTTTGAAGGTAGGTAAGCACTTAGACAGCAGGGATCACACAGAGGGCCTGGAGATGAGAGAACCTGTGAGCTCATAGTAGATGCGTAACAAATATTTGAGCCACGACAATACTGCGTATGAAAGGAGCTAGGATGAACTTTTATTTGTTGCTGACTTTCCTCTGGGCAAAGCCTCTGCAATATGCTTCCTTGTTAAAGTGGAATGAATTAGGCAACTCCCAGAGCTCCAGCCTTCCTCTCCCACTGCCTGCCACCCCTGGAGGCTGTGAGACATCAAGAAGTTTCCAGAGACCCTGTTTTTCTGGCTCCAGGGTCCAGCAAAAGCTCCGTTCTGGCTGCAGCGGGCAGAGAGGAAGCTGTCTCTGTCCCGGATCAAGCTATATTTGACTTGCGAGGCAAGGCCATCCCCGCAGGCCACATTCCGTGGCGCTGTGCCAGGCTGGTGTGTAATACGCTCCGGCCACCCTCTCGTTACCTAATGCTTTCCTAATCTGCAGCTTACGCAAGCCCAGTACAAATCTCTGAGAACACCAAGAGAAACACCAAACCAGGCACCTCCCTGGCCAGCCTGCACCCTGCTTTGGGGCTGGTGGTGCCATCGCGGAGGGACTTGCTGCTGGTTACCATGAGGTCTCCTTGGTAGGTCACTTGGAGCCCCATTTGTCACATGGACTCCCCCAATCTGTGCCTCCACCCCTTCTCTGCCAACACTCGTATTACACTAGAAATTCTATTCTACACCAAACATGGACAAAGTCTTACATCTTTCTGTTTTGCTGTCTGCAAAGCAGATCTTTCAACAAATGGTGCTGGAACAATTAGGAAATCAATATATAAAAAAAATCTCAACACCTTACTTCACATCATATATAAAAATTAACTCAAAATAGATCATTAACCTAAAGGTAAAACCAACTATTACAAAACTTTTGAATAAAATAAATATGGAGTAAGATTTTGTAAACTTGGGTTAGGTAAAATTTCTTAGAATAGAAAATATATAAAAGGAAAAAATTGATAAATTGAACTTAATAAAAATGTAAACTTTCACCTCTTAAAGGATACTTCTTAAGACCATGAAACGACCAGCTGTAGACTGAAAAGAACTATTTGCAAAACATATTGAACAAAGAACTTACATCTGGAATATAAAAAGAACTTCTGCAACTCAATAAGAAAACAAACAGCCCAATTTAAAAATAGGCAAAATACTTGAGCAGATATTTGACCAAAGAAGAGAGGAGGATGGCAAGTAAGCATTTGAAAAGATGCTCAACCTCATTAGTCATTAGGGAAACGAAAATTAGACCGCAATGAGATACCACTACACGTCCACTAGAACAGCTAAAATGTGGTTAAGTAACTAAATAAATCTGACAATACTGAGTGTTGGTGAGGATGTGAAGCAATTAGAGTTCTCATACATTGCTCATGGAAATGCAAAATGGTGCAGCCACCCTGGAAAACAATTCAGTGGTTTCTTATCCAGTTAAACATATGACCCAGCAATCCCACTTACCTAATCCCATTTACACAAGAGAAATGAAAATATATGTCCACACACAGGCATACAGATACATGTTTGTTGAATCTTTATAACTCCTAGTTAGAAACATCCAGATGTCTTTCAACTAGTGACAGGATAAACAATGTGTGGTACCTACGTACAATGGACTGTTACTCAGAAATAGAAAAGACCAAACTACTGTACACACAGCAGCATAGATGAATCTTGGAAACACCATGTTAAGTGAAAGAAGGCAGGCACGAAAGATTGCACAATGTATGATTCTAAAGCTCCAGAGACAGAAATCACATCAGTGATTGCTAGAGGCCATCGGGAAGGGAGGAGATCGATTACAAATGGGCATGAGAGAATTTTTTGTGGTGATGGGAACATTCTATATCATAATTACAGGTGGGACTTATACAAGCAGACACCTTTGTCAAATCTTATTCACCTGTACACTTGATAAGTGTGAATTTTACTGTAGTGAAATTATATCTCAGTAAATAAGACTTTTAAGATCATATAAAATAGAATAAAATAAAAAATAAATCTATTGGGGCCTGTCCTCATCATGAGGATAAAATGACACCAATAATAGTAATAGCCGATGTGTATCAGGGCACAGCCCCAAGAAATTTACACGCATTGTCTCATTTAAGCTTTAAACAATCCTTGCAGTTCTGCAAACACACCAAGCACTTTGCCGTGCCCAGGCCTTTGCACCTGCTGTTTCCTTTCCCTGGAATGTTCTTCCCGCAGATGACTCCGTCTCTCACTTTGCTCAGGTCTCTACTCAAAGGCCACCTCCTCAGAAGAGAAGGCCTCCCCCTTTCCATCTAAAATAGTGCCCCCAGCCTGTCTATGTCTGACCTGGTTTTATTTCCTCATGGTGCATGGTACACCTGCCATTACCCTGTATATTGTTTGTGTATATCTCTCCGTAAGAATGCCATTCATTCATTCACCACTTCTTTTATTGCACCGGCATCCACTGAGTGCCTACCTTGAGGCATGTATGAGCAAAGCCAAAGCTCCAAGAGGCAGAAGGATCCCAGAAGGCAAATGTCATGGTGACCGGGCCGCTGTCTACCTCCCAGCACCACCTCTCATAACCTGGCGGGGTCTTTGCAAGGCACTCACCTGCTGCTATAGACTGAATGCTTATATGCTCTCAGAATTCATATGCTAAAAACCTATGTGATGGTGTTTGGAGGTGAGGCCTTTGGGAGGTGAGCAGGTCATAAGGTTGGAGCCCTCATGAACAGGATTAGTGCCCTTATGAAACAGGTCTCAGACCGCTCCCTCACTCCCTCCACCACATGAAGACGCAGCGAGAAGGAGCTGTTTATTAACCAGGAAGTGGGTCCTCACTGACACTGAGTCTGCCAGTGCTTTGATCTTGGACTTCCCAGCTTCCAGACCGTGAGACAGAGATGCCTGCTGTTCATAAGCCTATGGTATTTTGTTAGAGTGGCTTGAACAAACTAGGACGCCTGTTTAAGAGTCAGAGAAGCTGCAGTGTGGAAGGAGCCCTGGTGCAGGAATTAAGAAACCTTCAAGCCGGACACAGTAACAAGCACCTGAAATCCCAGCTACTGTGTAGGCTGAAGCAGGAGGATCACTTGAGCCCAGGAATCAATGTCACAGGAGCCTGGGGGGTGAAAAAAGAAACCTTTACTCTCAGCCCTTCCAACATGCCCCCAGGAGACCCTAAGCCAGTCGCATCACTTAATAAGACCTCAATCTCCCCTCTGGTAAAATGATTAGATGCATGTTTTTCCAATGTTAGTGTAAATGGAAATTGTGAAATTGATTAAAACTGCATGCTTCTTCCCCAGAAAGTCGGATTCAGTAGCTCATGGGTAGGGTCAGGGAATCAACATTCTTAACCTTCACCCAGGGAGGGTGGTCTAACGTAGGTGGCCCAGGGACCAGATTTTGGATAGCAATGATTTTCAAGCTACAAATCATTGTTCAGCTATAAAAATCTTCCAGCAAATAAAATCTGACCCAGAAAACCACAGGTAAAGCATATAAATCGGAGAGGCCATGGTGGGCAGGGGAAGGAAGCAGGATCATGCTGACTCCTCCTCAAGTGTTTCTCCCACACTCCCCTCATCCCACCGTACAGGGGCTCCAGGCACCCTGGGGTTCCTTGGAACACAGTCTGAAGGCCACCACTCTGGAGTCATCATTCCTGATGGCATCATTGCACAGAAGTCTGTATTTACTACACACTAAACACTGTTCTAGGTACCAGGTGTCCAACAATAAGCAAAACAGGTAAGTGCGATGGATTTCACTTTTGTGGGATGGCTCACATGTATTGAGTGCTTACCATGTGCCAGACACAGTTTTAAGGGCTTTTCATGTATTCTCTCATTTAATTCTCACCACAACCCTACAAGACAACTACTGCCATTAGCCCCATTTTACAGACAAGGAAACTGAGGCCCAGGAGAATTCAATGATTTGCCAAAGGTCACACACGAGGGAGTGGCAGAACTGGAATTTGAACCCAGTTAGAAATCCTGCCCTCTGGCCTAGAAGCCCACGAGGCGTGTGTGAGTCCACCTGAGAAAGGTAGGCCCCTCTGCCTGCCTTTCCACCTTCAAACCAATCCCATTAGCATTCAAACCCCGTGGGGTTGAGGCTCCAAGACCCGGCTGCAGGTGAAACTGGGTCCCACGTCCCACGTGACTTTCAGTTGACGCAAGTGGCAATCTCTACCTGCAGAGACGCTGAAGGGCTCATCTCTGAGTGTGGAAGAACGTTCTCTCTGGCCCAGGTACTGAGTTTATTCTGGTCACCACTACACCATTTCATCTGCTGTTGAGAAGATGAATGTGTCCAGCAGTTCTGCTTGTGTCCCTGACTTGACAGGGTGAAATTGATCCATCTGCAACAGAAGCAGCAGCACCAAATTAGGAAGCAGAGCGGCGAGACAGCCAAGTGAATGCTGAGTAAGAGTGGCCGGCACAGACTCTTCCAACAGGAGTCGGGGAGGGAGCTTGGAGGTCATTTACACCCAGGTCACACATTTTGCTAACAGGGAAGCCGAGGTCCCAAGAGAGGAGGTGGTTTTCCTAGGGTCGTCTCAGCTGTGTTACAGGCTCCTGCCATTGACTCCTAGGTACAGAGGAAGGTGATGGGATTAGAGGCAGGGAGACTCAAGCCCACAGCCCAGCCCCACCCTGTGTAGTCGTGTGACCTTGCGCGAGTCACTTAACACGTAAGTCTTGGTTCCCCATCTGCACAAGGGAGATGATAACATCCCTCAGGGAGTCTGTAAAGATTGCAGGAGATAATTCATCCGACCATACCCATGCCAAGCAGCTACCCAATAATGCCTGCTCCTCTCTACTCTCTTTCACCTGGATTTAACCAAAATATACCCATTTTCAGGAATTAGCTCATTGTAACTGAGACTTAACAGGTCTCTGTTTGGAAATGGGTTTCAACTCTGTACTGTTCTAGGTATGGTCCACAGGCTGGCAGCATTAGCCTCCCCTAGGAACTGGCTGGAAATGCAGTCTCGGGCCCCACTCCAGGCCTGATGAACAGAGTCTGCACCTCCACTCATGAGAAGCACTGTGTTTAGCACATTTTTAATGGATTGACTTGTAGGTTTTGACCGTAGCGTCAGCCTAGCTCACAGCAACCTCAAACTCCTGGGCTCGAGCAATCCTATTGCCTCAGCTTCCCAAGTAGCAGGGACTACAGGCATGCGCCACCATGCCCGGCTAATTTTTTATCTATATATTTTTAGTTGGCCAATTAATTTCTTTCTATTTTTAGTAGAGACAGGGTCTCGCTCTTGCTCAGGCTGGTTTGAACTTCTGACCTTGAATGATCCTCCTGCCTCGGCCTCCCAGAGTGCTAGGATTACAGGCGTGAGCCACCACGCCCGGCCAACCCCAGTTCTTGATAGCCAACATGCATTGAGCACTGCCAACATGTCAGGCATGAAGGAAATATCTTATAGGCATGATCTCATTTAAACTGCACAACAAACTCAGGTGGTGGGAATTCTTACTGCCCATTTCACCTATAAGGCAACTGAGCATGGGGTGTATTAATTCCCTTGGCAGGTAAGTGCTAGAGCCACACTTCAAACTTTGGGCCCCTGCGACTCTAGGCCTCTCACTTAATCACTCTGCCACTCCGCTGGCTGGGACTAGGATATCCCTGCCTCTGCAGAAACTGCTGATGCATTGTTTTGTTTTGTTTTTTAATCCCTGCCCTCCTCGAGGGAGCCCAGAGAAGCCTCTACTTTGGGAATCAGGGTGGCATCTGTGAGATGGTGGTTTCAAGTCCCCTTCTCTCCCCAAGGGGAGCTTGTGAGACACTGGAAGTGCTGATGGCTGGACAAGCTCAGAGAAGCCAGACTGCTCTCTGCTCCCCTGAACTAGATCAAGGTCAGCAGGCCCTCGAGCAACAAGGGGCTAGAAGGCTGACCACCTGGCTCAGTGGTCCTGGGCTGCCCCACTCCCTGCCACTGCCCTCCCCCCCCCCACGCTGCCCCTCAAAACACTCAACATTCTACCCTTTGCAAACCAGAGAAGAAAGAGCAAGGGAGAGAGGAGGGAGGGGGAGATACATTATAATGACAGCAGGAGCCCCTGACTGCCTCCAAACCAGGCATCCTGCCTACACCCCCAAAGCCTTGTTCCCATTTTATGGATGAGGAAATTATGGGTCAGTGACATGTTGCAACTTGCTGAAGGTCACAGAACAAATAAAGAGCCAGCCTAAGATTCAAATCCAGCTGTGTCTGACTTCCTAGCTGGGTTCTTCCCACTTCCAAGGGATTTGTCTGAAGTTCCAACCTGCTAATGTGGCACCTTGGACTGGGCTTTACTTCCTGTAATCCTCATGGCCACAGCCATGGCGGGGAGATGCTATTACTGGCATTTCAGTTATTATTGCACCTGAGGCCTGCACAGGTCACATGACTCGTCTGGGTCACACAGCTGCTTAGCAGAGACAGAGCTGGGGGGTGACACCAAGTCTCTCTAACCCTAAAGTTCAAGCTCTTTCCTCTGTACTTCCAGCTTCACAAGGTGTCAGTGGTTCCCCCCCAAAAGAGGGAAGGGTCTCCACCCAGACAGCCCGACATGGTAGGACTCTGACTGCGGAACGAACTACAATACACAGGGTAGGCGCATGCCAAAGCAGGACAGCAGGTCACATGGTAAAGAAGCTCATTAGAGCGAGACTCCCCGCGTTCATTTCCCCATTCACTAGCTGTGTGACCTTGAGCAAGTTATTCAACCTCTCTGAGCTTTCATGGACTCACCTATAAAATGGGGCAAAGAAGAATATCTTCCCTGAAGAGCTGTCGTGAGAATTAAATGAGACAGGCTTGCAAAGCGCCTAAGGCAGGGTTGGACAAAGAGTAAGTGCTCAATGCATGTGGGTTCTTATCATCATTATAATTCTAGTTATTTCTTTTCTGTGCTGCTAATGGGAACAGGCTGCGCAGCGGGGTGTCTAAGACAGACTGAGTGTCGGGGCGCTGGCTGTGAAATGTCACCCTCCAGTTCAGTCTGGCAGTGAAGACGTGAGAAAGATGCCAATCAGCAGGAACTCGGGACCCAGGGCAAACTTCAGCTATTGAGAAAGAAAATTACAAATACCAGACGAGCGTGGGCTGCCCATCGGCTGTCCTTGCCCCACTCTCAGTCTTAGCTCCCATCTACGGCATGGGAGGAGTGTGGACCGGGCTGCTTCCTGGCCCCTTCCTGGCCGCTGCACCTGCCCCACCACAGGGGACAGTCCCTCCTGGTAAACGCAGGGAGCTGGTTCCGTGGCGGCTTCACTTCCCAGACCACAGGGGCTTGGATGAGAAACCTGAGTGGAGCGCACTAGAGCCCCAGCCCAACACCCCTTCCTCTTCCAACCTCTGCCAAGCCGGGCTGGCAGGGACCTTTCCCCGACGTGCTCCCGCTGCCTTCTGGCTAACGAGGCGAGGCACTGCAGTTCCCACGGGCGAGGCGAGGCCCTCCGCCTGGCCCACCGAGCTGCCAAGGACAGAGCCCTGCCTGGGCTCACCCACCCACGGGTCAGACCTACGAACAGTTTCCAAAATGGCGATTCCTGTGTCAAGAAAAGTTTCTGACGCATTCCACGGAAGCACCCCTCACGCTCACCTCACTCAGCTCTCAACATGTTCTAGAAGGTCACTCACCACACGCCGGCCCACGCACCTAGGACCCCGGAGGTCAGGAGTAGCTTGCAGCTACTTGGCTGCTATTTCCCGGTCTCGGTCAGAGCTTCCTCTCACTGAAAATTCGGGAAGTGTAAACTAAATCTTTTTTCAAATAAACTTTTTACTTCGGAATAATTTTAGATTTACAGAAAAGTGGCAAAGATAGTACAGAGAGAGCCCATAGGTACCTTACTCAGTTTCTTCTAATGCTACCATTTTACATTACCGTGGTACATTCGTTACAACTAAGAAACCAACATTGGTATATGATTATTAATCAAACTCCAAACTTTATTTGGACTTCACTCATTTTTCCACTAATGACCTCTTTCTGTTCCAGGATACCTTGCATTTATGACTAAATTGTTTATAAAGTCCCCTCCCAGCTCTAAAAACAGAGGAGCAATAAGCCTTCGTGCTAAGTGCCCCAGGTGTGTGAATTAGCAAATGAATATTGTGCTGTGTAACTTTGGGCAAACCTCTTACCCTCTCTGAGCCTCAGTCTCTTCAGCTACAAAAGGGGGATGATACCAGTACTGCCTCAGGGAGTGCTGGGAGGTAACCACTTGCTAATAATTCATGTGAAGCACTCAACGTGGCTCTCAGTACCTCACGAGCCACCCTCTTGATAGATCTCAACTGGTAGAAATCATAGACCCAAACAGGACTGACCCAGCATACCCTACACTCCCTGGCAAAAAAGTCTTCCAGCAAAGTGGCTGCTCCAGAAAGAAGACATCGTGGTGCTGGTCTGACATGTCAGCCCCGATGTGGAAAGCGCAGGACGGAGAAGGGCAAAGATCTAGTCACCTGCCCACTCATTAGCCCCTCGGTCTTAGCACCAACATCTGCCAAATGGGGACAAACCATCCAGCTGACGGGGGTGGCTCGGAAACATCCAGCAGCATGGAGGTGTCGCTCTTCCAGGAGCCACTAACTTGTCCACAGCAATCGAGACCATTAAAGAATCAACTGAAATCTGATGTGGACAGCTCCCAGGGCTTGGTAATTGGATCCTGCTCTACTTTTCTTGGAGAGGGGGTAGAGACAGTGGTTAATAATGGCCGACGATTTGCCCTCCTTTTCCTGGTCAAAGCCATGTTGAAAAGCCAAATCCATAGTCTTCATTGCTGCGATGTCTTTCCTCATCCAGAGTGAAATTAAGCCAGGATCCCAGTTGTGCTGCCTGTGTCTAGTTTTAAAAAGAAGCACAGAGCTGTTCCCATAGCCACTCTGGCAAAGATCATATAGGGACTGTTTCCACAGAATAGCAGCTGCAGGGTCCAGGGAAATTGAATAGTATTACTCCTGTTTAGAGATGAACAAATGAGAACCAGGCAGACTGTTTGTTCAAGGTTCTACAGCAGGACAGGTTCAGAGCTAGACTCTAGTCTCAGGGTTTCCACTTCCGTGCTCCTGACTCTCTGACTTAGAGGCCCATTAGGCTGTGAGCTGCTGGAGGATATCCATCTACCCATCCATCCATCCACCCATCCATCCATCCACCCATCCATCCATCTATCCACCCATCTATCCATCCACCCATCCATCCATCCATCCATCACCCATCCATCCATCTATCCAGTCATTCATCCATCTATCCATGCACTCATCCATCCATCTACCATCTACCCATCCACCCATCCATCCATCCATCAATCCACCTACCACCCATCCATCCATCACCCACCCATCCATCCATCCAGTCATCCACCCATCCATCCATGTTGGTATTTGACACATTCCTTATGGCAGGCACTGTGCTGGGTGCCAGGAAGCCAGGGGAGAACAAGATTGTCACAGTCCCTGAGTTCATGGAGCTTTCCATCTAGTGAGATAGAAGTGAGTCTATCACAGTGTCTGGCATATGGTAGGTGTACAGTAAATGTTTGTTGAATGAATACTAGATCTTTCATCTTTGGTAACGCCTCCACCTTTATGACTGATGTGCTGGGTCATTTGAAGATGTTAATGAAGCTAAAGATTCAGTATTTGTATTTGTCTTGAACCACCTTCTTGCATCATTATTTTGACCAGAAGACTTTGTGTGATGGTGTGCAGACATAGCAACAGTCTTGGGCATGGAGTCCAAAGACCCAAGCTCATATCCCAGCTGAGTTGCTTACTCCTAAGGGGCTACTAAAAGATGCTTGAGCCTCAGTTTTCACAGCTATAAAATGGGGAAAATACTTGACTTACCTATTTCATGCAACTGCTGTGAATATAAAAGGGGAGGAGGAACTGCTAGAAAGTATGATGTGAATAAATGGTTGAGATTTACTTGAACGATTTACTCAAATGACAAGTATATTGAGGACACAAGGGAAAACAAAAGTGATCAGCTTTTCCACACATTCATTCTGGCCTTCTGTAATTTAACTGGTTGCAATTGCCCCAGATTTGTTCCGACCTTAGAAGAGATTAAATTTATGGATTTGTGGCATCACACGTCATCCCAGCCAATCCTGACCCATATTTCTCTCCATTTGGTGCATGCAACAACAGTACAAAGGGGTGTTGCAACCTTAATTGCTTGCAAAGTGTTTTGAAATGCTTAGATTAAAAGCTCGGTGAAGTCCAAAGTATCAGCATTCTATATGCCAAGGAGCTACGCTGAGCCCCACCTGGGTTCACTGGAGCAGGAAGACACTGCAGTGTGTGTTCTGAGGCCTGCTCCAGGAACTCTGGGATTTAAGGTCCTGTTCTTGGGATGGCCCTACCTAGACCAACCCCCAGCTTCCCAGCTTCTAAGCCACCCAGGCCCTCGGCCATTTCCCACATTGCTTCTGAGGTGTTTTTTTTTTTTTTTTTTTTTTTTCATTTCTTAAGTTCCTGGGTCACAAGGCCAAAGCTGTACCAACTTTAGTGTCACCGGTCTGCTTTCCTGGGTGATCTCGGCCTGAGTCCTAGGAAGGGGCGATTATGTCATCTGTAACTTCTGTGTGCCCCTTCGTGGAAGCCAGGAGTTGATCAGTTAGTCCTTACTCTGATTTTTAGTTTAGAGTTAAAATTCCATCCCTTGGTGGTTACCCTTGGGGCAGGTGCCAGGCAGGTGCTGAAAGGGCAGAAAGGGCTTCTGAGGTCTCATCAGTGCTCTGCCTTCTAGATCTGAGTGTCACACCAGTCTGTTAAGTTTGTGACAACCCACTGAGCCGTACACTTACATGTGCATTTTTCTGTATGTTTGTTATACTTTTTACAAAGTATTTTTCAGAATCAGTCCAGATGCTAATTTACTTCATTTAGAATAGATCAATGTCACCTTAAGTTTTTCCTTTTTTTCCATTTCCATTTTTACACTTATAGATAGAAAAAATGAAATAGAATGCCTTGATTAGCCATTTTAACTAGGTCTAATGCAGGGGAGGGGTTCTCAACAGGAAGTCCCAGGTTGTCTTCAGGGACCCACATGAACCTGTCATAACAAACTTCTGTTGTATTTTGAATGACGTGCATTGTTCTGACGGGTGTCCGCAGCTTTTGTCAAATTATCATGGGTCCCTGGCCCCAAAATGACTAAAGTCCAGAAAGATTCTTACCACTCAAGGCTTCCTTATGCCTGCTCCTCTTCAAATGTCTCTCAACTCTAAACTCAACCCAAGGCACCCACCAACCTGCCTTCACACTCAAAACAAAATTGCCCACTTAAATGAAAAAAAAGCAAATCACTTCAAATTTCTCAAAGGTCACATATAATAACCATCATCTGTCTACTTTTCCCTGAGCCCCCCACCCTCCAGACTGTAAGCCCAGAGGCCAGAGCCCTTTGCACCCCAGCATGAAACTGCAAAAGGCAAAGGCAGATCGGGCTCAAAAGAAATTCACCATGCCAATGTATGAAACCAGATTTATTAAAATTTCTCTACAAGTTCAGAAACAGCCGTCTCACTGTTCACATATATACACATATGTACAGGAAGAATCTAGTGTTTCTAGCTTTCCCGGCAGAAGCCCCTGCCAGCCCAGAGTCCTCAGCCGGATAATGTATCACAGATACAACAGTCGAGCAACCACGAGAGCGTTAGTGCGACAGAGGCCTCTGTCCTCCCTCCTCTCCGAGTCCCATGATTCTGTCAAGGTAATATTGCCAATAATCATTCACATTTCACGTGGTTTTAGACACGCAGGTTATTCAGACAGACACAGACAACAAAACAAGCCTCAGAGCCAAAACAACAAAACAGTATCAGACATATGTATAAAAGGTACAACATATGTACAAAGTACACGGTACGTGAGGTATACACAGCATTCTCACAATGCATGTTAGTAGTTTGTTTAGGCATAGCCCTTAAAGATGACTGCCTGTTTTTGTGCCATTTCTCAAAATACAGTATGTTTTATTTACCCGTTTAACCACCCGATTTCAGCACTGTCCAAGACAGTTACTGATATTTCATCTGAACTTGTTTTCTAACACAAGCTGCAGTTTCTCTATCTGCTGTGTAGGGAGTGAATTCCCATCTCTGGAAGCATCCAAACAGGGGCTGGATTCCCACCTTTGAAAGAAGCTGAAGAGGGGATTTCTGTGTTGGGAGGTGGCAGAAAGAGGAAAGAGGTTGGGCCAGATATTTTTAAGGTCCCTTCTGACTTGAAAGATTTGGGGCTTGCTATTTCACTCCAGAAGCCGAGTATGCAGATGTATTCATGAACCACACATTTGAAATATTAACAACCCATCATGCAAAACTGCAGATGCACACACAATGCCAGAGGCAGACCACGTCCGGGAGGGGTTACAGTACCATTCTGGAAGTTAGAATGAGAATCTTCTAAAACTATCCAAAATTTACTTTCTTCAAAGCACAAAGATGTTTAATGTTTGCTCTTAGTGGGGAGTGGGGTGGGAGCCTCCTTATCTTTCTCCTCCTGGACAAAATGTTCCACCCTGAGATGGTCTTGGGGAAAAGTAACTAACTGGGTAAGTACTAACATATTTGGGGGAAACTTAATTATTCTTCAAAACCTACAGTCTCTCTGAGCTGAGAGTTCTGAACATAGTTGAGAGATCAAATCTTTTGTGATACTTTTCCACAGTTAGCTGGCAAGTGCTTTTGTAGCTTAAGGGGGAGAGTGACAAGGTCAGAGAGAAGTCATTAGTGCAGACGAGCTCTTGGCAGGAAACAGAGGACAGAGTCTGGGTTCAGGGTTCCATCAGGCTCCTGAGCAACTAAAAACAGTCTGCTCCAAAAACAGAGCAGAGTCATTGGTAAATCTGAGTGTGAAGAAAAGATGAGTGTTAAACTGAAAAAAGAACTTTCCCATCAGAGAAGCCTTGGTAAGCCTTGGAAGCCAGTCTAGCCACCAAAGATAAATTCCAAGATGGCAGGTTTATTGGCCTAAATTATTTGTCACTCTCTTAAAATACGGTTAGTTATTGCCCAAAATGCCATTGTGTGATTTGCTTCCTCTCCCATTCAAATGTTCAAGTTCATTACACTTGACCACATGGTGGAGGATGTCCACACTGTTTGCCCCCTATAAACAATCTGGATCCCCCAAATCTGACAAAGAGACCGTTGGTGTGGGTTCCTTAAGAAGGGAAACAACTTTGCAGGGCAGCCAGTCGGCATGGATGCTACTCAGACCAATAGTCACTCATCCCAACAAACAAGAGGAGGTGCATGCTGAGTTCGGCAGCTACAATCACGATGCAGTCACGTATCTGGTTGGCACCCCGCCAAAGGGCCTGTCCATCTTTAGAAATGGAAATGCCACGTGTGAGAATTATGAGGTTTCTGAGGTTTTTGGGATTAGCAGAAGAAGGAACTAATGTCACTGTCCTCCTGGTACTCTGGAACAATCTGGTCTGAAGTTCCCATTTCTGAGTCGATGTATCCAGGTTCCAAGACGGATTCGAACCAGGGATGGAGTAAGATCTCAGGAGCTGTGAGTCTCTCGGAAGGCTCCCGTCTCAGGAGGCTGCGAATGAGGCACCTGGCTTTGGGGGAAATGTGTTCGGGAATGCAGAACTGTCCACGTCGAATTTTGGAGAAAAGGGCACTGGGGTCTGAGTCATGAAAGGGGTATCGTCCGACCAAGAGGGTGTAGAGCATCACGCCCAGGCTCCAAACGTCCGCGGCCTTTCCGGAGTAGGTCCCCGTGGTGTTGAGAATCTCCGGGCTCACGTAGGCTGGGCAGCCGTGTTTGTCCGACAAAGCATCGTCTTCCCCCTTGATTATGTGCGTGTCTTCTAGACTTTCTAGTCTGAGCTGGGTTCTGCAGGAGAGAGGAACCAAGCCATTATTTCTAGATGAGCTGCTATGAAAAACAAAGCCTTCCCAATAACAGCGCCCACAGGCACTGACAGCAAAGGCGCAAGGAATGCTGTCTACCCCTTCATCCAGTAAGCAGTGCCCTGCAACCACTCAGGACTCGCGATGTCACAAACCAATACAATCTGCAATAAACGTTTGCAAAGTATCAAGAGAGCGCCTGGGGTGGAGGGTATGATGCAAAGCCCCAAACAGTATTCATAATGGTAGGGCTTACAAGAGATATCCCTAAT